GCTCAATTCATCATGGAGGTGGATGCGTCTGATACCGGTGTTGGGGCTGTACTCTCCCAGCGGTCCCCAGCAGACAGTAAGCTCCACCCATGTGCCTTCTTTTCAAAGAGGTTCTCTCCTTCTGAGAGAAATTATAACATTGGGGACAGAGAGCTCCTAGCCATCAAGCTCTCACTGGAAGAGTGGAGGCACTGGCTCGAGGGCTCAGAACTTCCAGTGGTGGTTTGGACTGACCATAAAAATCTGTCCTACCTCAAAAAAGCCAAGAGACTGAACTCCCGGCAATCCCGCTGGACCTTGTTCTTCTCTAGATTTAATCTAAACATCACTTATCGTCCTGGCTCCCGTAACATTAAGCCGGATGCCTTGTCCAGACAGTTTGCCCCTGATGACGTCTCCAAAACCCCTGAGCCGATCCTTCCGCCGTCCTGTGTGGTTGGGGGGCTTTCCTGGAACTTGGAGAAGGCCATTGAAGCAGCCTCAAAGGCCGATCCCGATCCAGGGGGGGGACCTCCCAACCGCCTTTATGTTCCGGCTAAGACCCGTTCACAGGCCATCCAATGGGCACATTCTTCACGGTTCTCCTGCCACCCAGGGACAAGCCGTACTATTGGTTTGCTCCGCCGCTATTTCTGGTGGCCTTCTCTCAACAAAGATGTGTTGGAGTTTGTCTCAGCCTGCTCCACATGTGCTCGTGGAAAGAACCTTCACCGCCCTCCAGCTGGTCTCCTGCAACCTCTCTCTGTCCCTAACCGGCCTTGGTCGCATATTGCCCTAGATTTTGTCACTGGCCTTCCTGTCTCCGAAAATAAGACAGTTATACTGACAATCATCGACAGGTTTTCCAAAGCCTGCCACTTAATCCCTCTTAACAAGCTTCCATCTGCTGCTGCCACTGCTCGCCTCTTGTTTTCTCATGTATTCAAACTTCACGGCATCCCCTTAGAAATTCTTTCAGACCGGGGTCCTCAATTTGTTTCTCGGGTCTGGAGAGACTTTTGCTCTATCTTGGGAGCCAAACCCCGCCTCACTTCAGGGTTTCATCCCCAGACCAATGGGCAATGTGAGAGACTGAACCAGGAACTGGAAAACGCACTTCGTGGCGTCTGTGCCAACCACCCCTCCTCCTGGTGTACACATTTACCGTGGGTTGAGTATGCCCATAATTCTCACATCTCTGCTGCCTCTGGGTTGTCCCCTTTTGAAGCCTCTCTTGGCTATCAGCCATCCCTCATCCCCTCTTCTTTTCCAGACGCCATCATCCCCTCTGTGAAGGACCACATGGAGGCTTGCCGCCGGATCTGGGACCAGACCAGGGCAGCCCTGAACCGAACTGCTGCCCTCAACAAGAAGATCGCTGACCGCAAGCGTGTCCCTGTTCCAGTCTATTCCCCTGGACAACAGGTCTGGCTCTCATCAAAGAACTTCCCTCTTAAGGGGTGCTCCCGTAAACTTTCTCCTAGGTTTTTGGGCCCTTTTCCTGTCCAAGCTGTCATCAGTCCTACCACTGTCCGTCTGAAGCTCCCTTCTCACCTTCGGGTCCATCCCGTTTTTCATGTTTCCCAAGTCAAGCCTGTGTCTTTCAGCCCGTTGTGCCCTCCGTCCAGACCCCCTCCACCCGCCCGGATCGTCGACGGCCACCCCGCCTTCACTGTGCGCCGCATTGTGGATGTCCGCCCCCGGGGTCGGGGTTGCCAGTATCTGGTTGATTGGGAGGGTTATGGTCCGGAGCAGCGGTCCTGGGTTCCGCGCTCCTTCATTCTGGATCCCACGCTCATCTCCGACTTTGAGCGCCGTTCGGCGTCTTCTTCTACTCGTCCGCCAGGTGGCGTCCTTTGAGGGGGGGGGGTACTGTTGGCCTCACTGGATTGTGTGCTGAGCTGCGTTAGGGTTCTTTCTTACCTTTTCCTCCTTAGACTCCAGTCCTGACGAGCCTCCAGCTGGTTCCAATTGGACGCAATCAGGGAGCAGTATTTAGAGGAGTGGATTCCCTGGGACGGACGCCAGTCGGTTAAAGTTCCACACAGTGGTACCTACCTGCTAGCTCTCCTAAGACTGAACCAATAGTTTAGACTTAAGCTTACCTCCGTGTCCTCCTTCTCTCTCCTAGAAGCCTCGCTGTTTCCAAGCCGGTCCTCTTCTCAGTCCTCCTGGATCCTCCCCTCGACTGCTCGCCTGCCTGTCCACCCTCTGGAGCTCTCAAGTCTAAGCCCTCCATCTCTGTCTAAGACTCAATCTCAGTGGGCTCTTCCAACCTCCCCTCCAGCTGCACCGCTCTCCAAGAACTGTAAGAAATCAGCATCTTCTCAAAATAACTCGGATCCTCCAGCCAGAATCTAACTTATATCTCTCTCCGTGCAGTTCCTGAAGAAGCCGCTGTTATCCGAACCATCACGCCAGGCTGAACTTTATTCTGTAAAACTTTTCAATAAACAATCTAACTGCTTCCCTACTCGCATTGTGTCTGCGCCAGAGTCTACTTTTGAATCATGTCAGTATTGTGAAATTGCTAAAATCTAATGTGTATTTATTACATATATTTCTTTCTAAAATTGTTGCATTTCTATTTATTTTTTTATCTCCATCATAAGATCCTCCAAAATCAAACAAAATTAATTCTGACCAATTTCCTGCTGGTTTGCATTATGCTTACATCTGTCTAAATCATACGTCTCAAACACACATTCTTCTTCTCAGCAGTCTCATAGTGACTCGATCTGGTCTGAAGGAGTAACAGCATAACTGACGCTCTACCTATTCACATTCATTGTACATAAGCTTGCAAACACACGGTCTCCCCTTTTACTCATTTCACGGGTAACTTAAAGTATTGTTAAAACTGCTGCTGTTGGTGACACTTCCTGTTTTCACTGCTGACCTGCATTCAGTTGTGCTGTTCAGGCTATCTCCGTCTGAATTAATTTCTTTTTTGTGATTTCTCTAAGTTGCTCTAACTGTCCAAAAGTACTGTAAAACACAGCTATTACCCCTGCAATTTCCCACTGGAAACTTGTTCTTCTAACCCATCTCTATTATAAATAAACCTTTACTTAAGAAAGCATCTCTTGACCTAGATAGCTTGGTTAATTATATACCCATCTATACTGTATCCAATCCTCCTTTTTATCACGAATTTAAGAAATTATTTTAAGAAAAAAAAATTAAGAAATTATTTTTATAGTTTTTTTTTAAGGCTGCCAGCTAATGTACAGACTAAAACTAGTAGTTGGTTCCAAAGGAGAGGAGCCTGATAACTAAAAGATCTGCCTCCCATTCTATTTTTAGAAATTCTAGGAACCACAAGTAAACCTGCAGATTGAGAGCGAAGTGCTCTGTTAGGAACATAAGGAACAATCAGATCTCTGATTTAAGATAGAGCTTGGCT